ATAAACACTCAATGTTAGTTGTTCTTGATGTTGTTATTATTTCTACTTCAATGCTATGATTACACAGGCTGCAAGCTGCTTTAGAGGCATGTTTAGGGACTGGCAAAGTTAAAGCGCTTCTGCAAGGCTCCTGCATTGCGGTGGTATAAATGGTGGCTGTGCCTGCCTGACTCACTCTGTGTGAGCATAAGGGATGAATTGTGTTTTCCAAGGAGAAGGGACTGTACACTCCCAGTTCTAGACACATTGGGAGGGGCCAAAGCCCAGATCTGAGGCTGACAAGCCACTGGAGCTATCCGTTTTTTCAGATCTGTTCTGAGGAAAAATGCTGCCCACAGAAAGATCACACTTCATGCCAGATTAAACACTACAGACTTATTCAATAATATAAGTTACTGACCATGGAAGAAAAAAGAATCCATCATCTTGAAATCTAGCTTTATCTGAAAGATCAAAGTGCTTTCACTAAGCCTTTTATGGCACGTACCTGGTATTCAGACTGTGATTCTAGGATTTAAATATATGCAGATAGTTTAGAATGCTATTAAAAAAAAAAAACCACTGAATTTTCTAGCAAAATTCAAATGTTAACAGTGAGGGACAGCAGCAAAAACACCAACTTTCCAAGTCTATTCCTTGGTGTATGTGTGTGCAGTGTAGGATGTGAAAGGCTATTTAGGGTCTGCTCCAATGAGGAATGATGAAGCTGTGCTTAGAATATTAGCCACCATCTTTCTTCGACACTGTCGTATCTGACAGAACCACAGAACACACTTTCTTTAATTCCCTGTTTTTCATGGTTTTCTCAAGCTGGTTAGGAAAAAAATAAGCCTGCAGGAGTATTTTCCTTTATTTTTTTTTGACAAATTCTTGCTCTGTCAAAAGGCTGGAGTGCAGTGGTGTGATCCTGGCTCACTGAAACTTTCGCCTCCTGAGTTCAAGTGATTCTTGTGCCTCAGCCTCCCAAGAAGCTGGAACTACCACTACAAACATCCACCACTATGCCTGGCTAATTTTTGTATTTTTAGTAGAGACGGGGTTTTGCCATGTTGGCGAGGCTGGTCTTTAACTTCTGGCCTCAAGTGATCCGCCTGCCTTGGCCTCCCAAAATGTTGGGATTACAGGTGTGAGCCACTACGCCTCGCCCATGCAGGAGTATTTTCAAATCTAAAATGCAAACCTGCACAGCTGGTGGATGGTGGGAGAAGTTAGTAGCCACAACAGGCTTAGGGGCCAAAACTATGAATCAGTGTGTTTGGGAGGAGAAAGAATTAATAAAAAGTAGCAGGTAACCATTATAGAAGGTCATATGTGTCAAAGACTATGTTAATGATTTTAAATGCATTTATCATTTAACGCTCACCAAAGCTATACAAAGGAAGTACTATCGGAACACCTTTATCCATTTGTTCACAAAATTCCATGGATGAGGAAATTGAGTTTTGCAGAGTTTAAGTGACTTGTTCAAGGCCACACAACTCCTAAATGATGAAGGTTTGATCTCATCCCAGCAAGTGTGACTCCAGAACTGGTAATCCTAACCATTAATTAATTAGAAAGACAAAAAATTAGGGCTCCTGTAAGAACTTCAGAGACTAATGATGGTTTAATATCGTGCCCATCTTATCAGTTCACCCTGTCATCTGCACCTTCTAGCAGGGTCACCACTAGCCACAGGAGGCTACTGAAATTTAAATGAATTAAAATTAAATAAAATTTAAACTTCAGGCCATTGCTGTTGAGTACTTAAAATGTGTCTAGTGCAACTAATGGCCTGAAATTTTAATTTCATTTAATTTTAATTCATTTAAATTTCCACAGCCCCATATGGCTGCCATATTAGACAGTGTTGATCTTAGGAGTTTTTTTCCCTCAGTTTTATCAGATATGATCAGGGTTGCTTCCTAAAAATCTGAGGCAAACGGGCATTAGTTGCTTTGCCCAAGGATCCTAGAAAATCACAAGAGTTAATCTCCCTTGATGTCTTCTTTAGGAATGGAAACCGCGTCCACTCCCTCCTTAGGAATGGAAACTGAGTGTCTTCCTCACTTGCCCTTTCCAACATTCTTCAACCTCTAGCCCTACTGATTTCCTCATGAGCCACAAGGTGAGGATGATACAGTCAGAGCAGACAAACCCAGGCACATCTCCCCTCAGACAATGGTGCACATCAGCCTCAGTAGAGATCTGCTTAACTTGCAGATTCCTGGGCCCCACCTCTGTAGAGTTCTGATGCAAGGAGTTAGGGGGAGGCCCAGGAGCCTATGTTTGAATCAAGCACCCCCATGATTCTAAGGCAGGTGGTCTAGCTTTCAGAAACTCTGCTTCAGAGGCTGAAGTATATATTTATCTGCTGTCCTCTTAAATAATTATAGCACATAAATCTTTCGAGAATAACATAACCTGGGCTGGAAGCCAGGCAGTCATCACTCTGCGCTAATTGCTTACTTCTAAGACATGAGGCAAGGCGCTTAGTCACCAAGGCCTCATTTTTTTTTTTTTTTTCATCTGAAACATAGGGATGAGGATATCTACTCTTTGTTCTGGGACAAATAGGAACACAGATGTGGACATATTTGAGGAGGATAGAAAGTAAAACCCACTGCATGGACAAGCTACAATTCAGAACCTCGTTTTGTTTGTCCAGCAGAGTTGAAATGGATTTCATATTTTAAAAAGTCCACATTTTAACTTCTCAGGAAAAATTGGAAGATCTGACAGGATGGGGCTCATATTAGATTGGCAGCCTGGTGTGATTAAGAGCAAGGTTCTGGAATCATATGCACAGGTTCAAATCCCTGCTCTACCACTCTACAAGCTGAGTGACTTTGGATGAGTCCCTCAACCTCTCCATTTCTCAGTTTCTTCAACTCTGAAATGAGAATCATAACAATATTCCTCCCTCACAGTGTTATGACAATGTAATTAAGCAAGCTAATATTTATAACGTGCTTAGAACAATGTTTGACACATTGCAAGAGCTATATAAAGGTTAGGTGGATACATAAATATCCCAGCACATGGCAACAAGCAGCTGGAGCTGAGCAGTGGTCATCCCCTTCAAATGGGGTTAACATTATCACAGTCTCTATCCAGACACCATCGACTACGGAATCCTTGCTGTAAGGGGCAAACGTATGTCTCCCTCCTCTGGTACCTTGCCCACAAAGGGGCAGATATACTTAGAGCATCTTGCAGCACTACTCTTCTCAAGCTGTCAGTGGTGAAGGACCAGTTTCTTTTTATTTTCAATCCCTTGTGGACGGACATATGGCCCTGATGAGCATGTCTGAGACACAGCACAAAGCACAAAGAGCTCAGTGTGTGAGTTCTATAACACCCTGATTGGTCTAGACCCTCATCAATAAGACAAGCCTGCTGAACACGCACTTGGATGTCACTGCAACATCGAACTGCTGTAAGAGTTTCTAAACACTTTTAGTTTCAGTACTAATCTCGCTGCTGATGGGTGATAGTTCTCAGTGAGTGTTATCCTCAGATTCTGCTTTAAGTAGCACCATCACAGAGAAAATCTACAGTACTATTTTTTCCCACATTTAAAAATATTTTAAAAATAATATTTAAAATATTAAATAAATAATATTAAAAAAATTTTTTTTAGAGTCAGGTTGTCACTCTGCTGCCCAGGCTGGAGTGCAGAGGTGGGATCATTGCTTAGTGCAGCCTCAACCTCCTGGGCTCAAGTGATCCTCCTGCTTTAGTCTCCTAAGTAGCTGGGACTATGATCATGTGCCACCAAGTCCAGCTAATTTTTATATATATATAATAAAATATACTTGTGTATATTATATATAAATTATATATTGCATATATGTAATATATGTATTGCATATATGTAATATATATGCAATAGGTTCAGAACAGTCTCAGAAGCTGTCATGGATGCTTTGGTGCCCCAAGCAGCACCAGGTTGGGGCAACTGGGCTCCAGGTGCTCTGCGTACTACCATCAGCTCACAGCTACACCTTCTCCACCTTCACATGGTATGAGGGGCAAACGAGTTCCCTTGGGCCTCTTTTATAAGGGCATTAATCCCATGTATGAGGTCTCCACTTTCACGACATAGTTGTCTCCCAAAAGGCCCCATCTCCTAATGCCATCACCTTGGGATTTAGGATCTTAACTTAGGAATTTTGGGGAAAACATTCAAACCCTAGCATTCTCTTTCTTTAATGCTGCCTTTGGCCAACAGGAGCTGCCTTGCCCCAAGCCCACATCCACAGTCTCATCCCCTTGTTACTCCTCAGCAGCCCAAAGCTGATGACCAACTAACATGATGGTACAAAACATCAGCCCCTTTGTCACAAGAAGCAATTGGCTCTATAGTGCAACTCATCTATCAGAGTCCCCTGTGGGATCAGGCAGAAGCCAGACCCCAGTGGAGACACCGTTTCTCACTTGGCTCCTCCCCATGCCCTGTCCTCCTCCTCTCACCCTCCTTCTGCTGGGAGCACTCCCTCAATACATCACAGGCATCTGGACCCGTCTCAGGTTTTGTTTACAGGGAAGCCCATCAAAGACAGAAGCCATCCCAAACTTGGGTTGACCTTCCTCAGCAGCCGATTGGAAGAGGGCACATGGCAGAAACAACATTAAAATCCTGAGGACCAGGCCGGGCATGGTGGCTCATGCCTGTTATCCCAGCACTTTGGGAGGCCGAGGCGGGTGGATCATGAGGTCAGGAGATCGAGACCATCCTGGCTAACATGGTAAAACCCCAAGTCTACTAAAAATGCAAAAAATTAGCCAGGCATGGTGGCGGGAGCCTGTAGTCCCAGCTACTTGGGAGGCTGAGGAAGGAGAATGGCATGAACGCAGGAGGCGGAGCTTACAGTGAGCCAAGATTGCACCACTGTACTCCAGCCTGGGCAACAGAGTGAGATTCCATTTCAAAAAAAAAAAAAAAAATTCTGAGGACCAGCATCCAGTCACCCAGAGATTAACCCTTGCTATCTGTTTTCGAGGTGAACAGAACATACCTGTTGCATTAGACAGAGCCAGGGATTCCATGGAGCCACGAGGCGTCTGCTCTGTGGGCGTCATGTCCTCTGTGTATTTCAGGGAACTGATTGGATGACGGGTCCGACACTGCTGAGTGGACATGCCCCCTTCCTCCTCCTCTTCCTCCTCATATTTGGGGACTTGGATGCTGCCTCGGGTCTCACTGAAACTCTGACTAGACATATCACTGTAGCTCTCCTGAGATCTCAGCCTCCCTGGGTAATAGTCTTCTCGGCATTCTTTGATGAAGCTGCCAGCATGTCCTGTCATGGCCAGTGACGAGCTCCTTTTGGGGTTGCTGAAGTGCTTGCCCCACATTTCGGGCTGGGCCCCAGCCCCTTGCCCTCCTGGACTGTAGGAAGTTCTGATGTTGCACTGGCTGAGGAGCTGCAGAGGGCTCTGGGACTGGTTCTGCTCCATCTTGTTCCCATAATGGTAGGGCTCTTCCCGGCTCCTCCAGATGGGGTCCCGGTTGAGACTGGGCGTCTGGCTGGACAGGCTGAGCATGTCCATTTGCAGTGACAGGGGATCTACATCGGCTGACAGCCGGTTGGAACTCACTTGCAGCTGGCTGTGCTGGTTCAGCATGGGCTCCTCCGTCTTGCCCTTGTTCTTGCCAATTTTGGCACTGCGCCGGGACTCCTTGGCCCTGGCGTTCTGGAAGGCGGAATCGGAGGAGTCAGAACCATTGGGGTCTTCCCCAGCACTGCAGGCCCGCGAGCAGAATATCTGGCCCTGCTTCGGAAGGAATGGCCGCCCCAGGAGGGATTTCTTGCAGTGAGCACAGCAGAAACAGGTCTCGGTGGCATGCCAATGTTGACCGTCATAGGTCATTTGACCTTGGTCGATACCTAAAATAATGAGACATTGGAGAGGCTCATCAGCTGCTCAGAGCCCTGCACTGGGACATGAAACACACTGCACCTTGGTTTGTATCAGGATTCCAGGTGCGGCAGAATAAATTAATAAATCAACAATCAGACTCCTATGTAAATGGTATTCATGTCCTATTACGAGAACTCATTGTTGTACCAGTATGCACCTTAACTCATTTGCTCCAAGCACAAAGACTGGAGGTTAAAATGACTTGTCTATGGATCCTTCTGCCTGGGACACATTTCTCCCTGACAAATAGCGATAGTAATACTAACATATGATCATGCCCTGCTTTAACAGCTTTATATATGTAAACTCATTTAATCACTCAACTCCTTGAGCTAGCTTTCTAATATTATTTGCAGTTTTCACATGAGAAAATAGAGGCAGATGAGGCTAAGTAACTTGCGTAGGGTAACATAACTAGGAACCAGAGACAAGATCTGTATCCAGGAAGTTTTATTCTCAACCATGATATTGATACTATCTCCTTCACTCTAGGTAGGCATCTGCTCAAAAGCCAAATCCTCTGAGAAGTCTTCCTGTCCACACTAATAGTGATTTTCCATTGCTCTCCATACTTACCTGCTGCAGTTTTCTTGATAGCATTAATACCGCTTTACATTGCAACAGTCTATATATGCATCTGTTTATTATTTCTCTCCCCTGCTAAAAGTGAAGCTCTATGAGGACAGACTCATTAAGTTTCAACAGCATCTCCAGGACCTGGAACATGGCTGGTGTATGACAGGGCTCTTTGTGTATAGATAGATTGAGTGAATCCCATTACTAGCATATGCTATTCCGATGGGTAAGTCACAGCAGCAACTCAGTGGATGCTATGGTGAATGTTTTCTCCAAAACTCCTAAGTTGAAATCCTAAATCCTAAAGTGATGGCTTTAGGAGATGGGGCTTTTTGGGAGGTCACTAGGTCATGAGAGTGGAGACCTCATGAATGAGATTAGTACCCTTATAAAAGAAGCCTAAGGGAGCTCGTTTGCCCCTTCTCCCATATGAGGACTCTGCCAGAAGGCATCATCCAGGAAACAGAAAACAGGCCCTCAGCAGACACTGCATTTGCTGATGCCTTGAGTTTGAACTTCCCAGCTTTCAGGACTGTCAGCAATACATTTCTGTTACTTAGGAGCCACCCAGTCTGTGCTCTTCTGTTAAAGCAGTCTCAACGGACTTAGTGGGAAATAAAAATGTGGATTTCAACTCTTGTTAAGGAAAAATCTGCTTTTGGTGAAGAAAAACCTAGACATGGTATTGCCAAAGCTATTGCCCCTGTGGGAGCATGCGTACCCTTTGCTTAATTTCATCAGGAAAGGAAGAGGTACAGTTCCTCCCTGTGACAGGACTGTGTCAGGTTTATACAGCCTGGTCACACTGCTTACTAAGGGAGCCTCCCACAGCCCTGAGCGTTCTGCCTTCTCATCATCTCTGCCCTCTTCTGGCTATAGGACTTCATCTCCCTGTGGGACACCATTTCCTGCCATCTTCAGGCCGTGAGCTTTGGGTGGGGCAAAAGCTGACCTGGGGCCCAACATAGGCCAGCAAAAAAAAATCTGCTCTCCTGGCACCCAGGGACTGATTCAGGGGTGGGCAAGGGACCTGCACTAAGCCAACACCTATCATTGCTTTTTCTAAGGCAGGACTTTTGCTAAGGCAGTCACACAGCAGGCATTTTTTATAGCAGTTGTTAAACTGGCAGAATGGAAGCTGATCACTGCTGGGGCCCCTTCCTGTGGGGACAGCCTGCTGGGAACACAGCCTCAAGCTATGACTGTAGGGTGGACCAGGACCCTTGCAGTCTCCTGATACATAATGATACACGGCTTCCCAGAAACAAGGACTAACGTGACCTTCGTCTTCAGTGGCTGAGAGTTCCTGAGCCTGGACTTTCAAGGAAGAACTGCTGGAGACTTGTCTAAAGAGGTGGCGAACACGAAATTAGGGAGAAGAAGAGAATCGCAAGAACAAAAGGCCACCGGCCCAAGCAGCCTGTCTTTCTCCTCCGCTGTCTATCCCCTCACTTTTGTGTCTATGGAGCCCAGGGAGAGAGGCATGAGGGCAATTCTTCTCTTATTAGCTCTTTCCCAAACTACAGGGTTCTCTTTTCATTTTGGAACCTGGCCTTAGAGACTAAGAGGGGATTTTTTTTTTTTTTTTTTACAGGGATAGGAGCAGCCACAAGGGTCACCCCAAGTGGGAGAGAGGGAACTGTGTGAATCAAGTGAATCAACTCCATCTCTCTCTTTTTTTGAGACAGATCAACTCCATCTCTTACAGTGCCAGTGCTCCCCGATAGCGTGAGAAAGAACCAGCTGGGGCGGGGCTAGAAACAGACAACCCCAAGCTCTGTGGACACTTCCTCCCCAGGCCCTTGGGAGAAAGCCGAGGCAGACATCACAGGGACATAGGACTCTGTAGTAGTTAAGCATAAGGCTCCAGGACCCTGACAAACACAGGTTCAAATCCCAGCTCCATCCCATTGCAGCTGGTTGTAAAGATGCTGAAGGCCATCTGCTGGGGTTCAAATCTTGAGCCTACTGCATTCCAGCTGTGCGACCCTAGGCAAATGGCTTCATCTCTCTGTTTTTGTCTCCCCTTCAGTACAATGGGGATAATCCTAGTACTTGGTAACTGAGTGAATACGCACAGAGTGCTGAGAACTGGGCCTACTGACCAATCTTCTTTTATTTGCATTAGGACTGAAAGCCTGTGTCTCTCTTTGCTGAGGGTCACTGCCCAGATGCAGTCCAAGAAAGAACGATGAGGCTGCTCTGTCTCTCCTCCCCTCTCCCACCCTCCTTTGTCTCCTCCTTCTCACTCCCTTTCTCAAATGCCTAGAGTGCAGAGAGCTCATGATGGCATCCCTGGGTCCTCCGGTGAGCTCTAATCAGCACAGCATCCAGAGCAGCTGCGGCGATCCCCACTCCCTGTTAGAGGTACACAGGAAGTCCAGTCCCTCTGGCCCGTCTGCCACCAGCTGCTTCTCCACGCTTTGGCAAGGAGACATGCTCAGATGCAGCAGCAAGGGCCTAGTTCCTGGGGATGGGGGCCTCATGGAAGGATGGGCTTGGGTTGGGAGAGTGGAGGGGAGGTATATCATAAAGCGGCCTGGCAGGCAGCAGAACGTGGTCCCCGATAAACATCGATGTCAGATGGTCCTCTGAACTGCTCCTGAACTCTAAGCATCTGGAAAAGGGCTCTGTTGTTCAGCATCTAAGCGTTCCTTTTTTATTCCTTCTCTAAGCCCTTTAAGCACTTCTTGGAGGGTGTGTGTGTCTACTGCTGCCACAGCCTCGGTCTGTTTATAGGACTGTTTACTCTGCTGTGCACAGGCAAAAGTACCGTTGCCCTAGCAACGGCTGCCTGACACAGGGCCTGCTCTGAGTGGCTGTATAAATACGGAATATTTGTACGGTATGGTCAGAGGTAAAGCACCCAGTGACTGAGGTATGCGTGCTGTAGAGAGTGTGCTCTTTCGCGGTCACAGGAAAATTATGTTTGATAGAAAAGTGGATTTAAAACAAACATTAGGGACAGCATTTTAACTATAGCAGCAGTAATACTGCAGGCCACCATGGTCCCCTTTTCTGACAAAACACTGACACCTTTTTATGGATTTAATAGGAAAGGAGGAGGGAACTCCAGTAAATGTGCTGGGCAGCCAAAGGGAGACAGTAAGAGAAGAAAACCGAGGGGCCATCGGAGGTGTACATGCTGCAGCAACAGAGAGATTTTCCTCTCTGCCAAGTACTGAGCAAAAATTCTAAGCGGCAGTTTCTGGAAAGGCTCTTAGCCTCCAAGGACAGAAACAGAAAAAAACAGAAATATGGATGGGACGGGGTACTGTTGTCATGGACTGGTATTCTGCATACATGGCCCCTCACACCTGAGCAAGTGTGCACTTGCAGACTTGAATTCTCGGTTGGGCAATACTGGGTCAAGACATTGCACCATTTTCCATGATACTGTCCCACCTGTCCCCTTCTTCACACGTCTTGCCACTTGTCACAATTGATCTTTGCATTTCCTAACTCTTAGCAAAAAGAAGGTTTATCTGTTTGACCACTTTGATCTTGTGAGACATGAAAGCTCCTGGGTACTGAGTCCAGGCAACAGGCTGTGAGAGGGGTGAGGATTTTAGGGGTTAGGGGATGGGGAATTTGCCATCACCCAAGCCCCCAGAAGGAAATGCTGCTGACAAAGGTCTTCACAGCAGAGCTTAAGCCTGGGCCTGAGTATATGGGGCAAGAATGCCCAATGACAAAGCACTGTTGAGCATATGGTAGATGTCTTGTCCACAAAGCCAGGGTTTTTATCAGTACACAGAACTCTCCAAATACTAGCTAATTTTCTATTTGAATACATCACTTCTTATGAGCCAGGAAGACAAAGCCACTTTTTGTGGTCCTAATAAAACCTTTTAAGTGGGGCGAAATGGGCTCCAAAATGGATTATCTCTATATCTCCTCACTCTAGGTAAGAAACTGGCAACTTCTAAACAGACTTCTTGGGATTGCACACGCCACTGGACGATCTGGCTGTGATCTCACAGACATTCAGCCACTGCCAATGTTTTATTTCTCCCCAATGTTGGCTCCTTCCCAAGGTGCCAGAAAAGGCAACTTGAATGAATAAGCCACAATGCAGTACGATCTGGAATAGCCTTGAAGGGTTGAACAAATTGGTTATTTGCAGAGGGAAAATGATTTTCACCATCTCAGATCTGCCACTTGTTGGGGGAGTTAATAGTTTATGGACTATTTGAGGTTCATTTGCTTTGCATTTGGCTGGAATAGCTTTTATTTATTTATTTATTTAAGACACACTTGCCAGAAGCCACTGGATTTACTTGACTATCCCTTCCTACCAAGAGGACCACTTTGGTTCCTCCCTCTGCAAATCCCCATCTTGTCCCAAGGAGGCTATGGAAGACATCTGTTTAGATATTCCTTCTGAGCTTCCCCCACTGCCCTGACCCTCAGTTGTAGGACTGTATGGCACATAGTCCCAATTTGGAGGTGGGCCCTTGACCAAAGCAAGGCTGATAAGATTCTTATTTGGAAGAACTGACCTGCAAGCTGGCAGAGACATACTTCTTCTCCTTTTGAGAATGCAAATACTAAGTCTAGTATCACTAGTGAGTCATCTCGACCATTAGGTGAAGATAGCTTGTCTCAAATGATGTTAACAGAAGGCAAATTAAGCTGAGATACAGAGAAAAAAATCGGTTTTGTCTGAACACTTGATCCACCCCTACCTGAAGCCAGTATACTCTTTGGCCTTTCTAGTGTTGTAAATCAAGAAATTCCCTTTTTCAGTTAAGTTACCATGAGTTGGGTTTCTATCACTTGCAATCAAAGATATTTTAACTACACCCAAAACAAAGGTGACCTCATCACAGAAGGACAAAGCCAACTGCCAAGTATTGCCTCACCTATATGTTGGGCACAGGTGTCACAATATTCTGCATACAAGGACTCGAAGCAGTGGCAACAGTAGGGTCTTCCCTCCTTCATGATGTAGCGCTGGCCGCCCAGCACTGTCTCACACTCGAAGCAGCAAAAGTGTTTCATGTGCCAGTGTCGCCCCTCGGCTTCTGTGCATTCATCTGCAAAGATGATCTGGAGACGGGGAAGCCAAATGGTCAGTATGTGAGACTCATCCAGAAGGACACACTTTAAAGGAAGAAAGCTATGGGGACCCTGAACTAGAAGGGTAAGAAAGCAGATCCCACTCACAAATAATTAAATGAAAATCCATATGTATATGTTTATTCTGTATGTATATCAGTTCCTATATATGGATTTACCTAAAGCATAATTAAACATGATTTCTGGCCTAGCCGGTAATTAATTTGACCACATTTAATAAGAGAAGGAATGTTCCACCCTGGAGAACATAAGGCAGGATCAAAAACTGACAGCTCACAGGCACATTGGACATACATATCTGCTTCATTAATCTGGACACATTATTTTTTTAAATAGAAAATATCATATTAACACTTGGAATCCTGGTTTCTCTTTTGAAAACACAACATTTGCAATGCTCAGTGCACATTCCTACATGGCAATAATAAACTAGAGCTAAGAAGAGAGGCTGCTGCTTTCTAATGAGTGGCAAGTTCTCCAGTTTGTCATATTCTTCACCCTTCCCTATTGCCTTAAATAAGTCACCTTCATTTACAACACCTGCCAGGCCCTCACAAGCATTTGCATTTTCCACCAATATAGAGTTTTTAACATTTCAAAGCACAGATTTCAAAATTTACTATAAAGCTACAGTAATCAGGCCAGCATGGCACTGGCATAAGGCTGGGCATATAGATGAAAAGGTATCCAGATTTAAACTCATACATATATGGTCAATTAATTGTTGAAAAGGGGGCCAAGACCATTCCATGGGGAAAAGAATAGTCTTCTCAACAAACGGAGCTGGGACAACAGGAGAGCCTCATGTAAAATAATGAATTCAAACCCCTACCTCACATCATACATAAAAATTAACTCAAGGCTGGGTGTGGTGACTCACCCCTGGTAATCCCAGCATTTTGGGAGGCTGAGGCAGGTGGATCACGAGGTCAGGAGATCAAGACCATCCTGGCTAACATGGTGAAACCCTGTCTCTATTAAAAATACAAAAAAATAGCCGGGTGTGGTGGCAGGTGCCTGTAGTCCCAGCTACTTGGGAGGCTGACGCAGGAGAATGGCGTGAACCCAGGAGGTGGAGCTTGCAGTGAGCCGAGATCGCACCACTGCACTCCAGCCTGGGTGACAGAGTAAAACTCCATCTCAAAGAAAAACAGAAAAATTAACTCAAAAGGGATTAAAGAGCTAGGGGCAGAAAAACAATAAAATGCTTAGAAGAAAACACAGGTGTAAATTTTTATGACCCTGAAAGGCAATGGTTTCTTAGATATGATGCTAAAAGCATAAACAACAAAAAATAAAGTAGACTTCATCAAAATTAAAAACTTTATGCTTCAAAGGACATCATTGAGTAAGTGAAAATACAGCTATAGAATGGGAGAAAATATTTGCCAATTATCTGATAAGGGACTAGTATACAGAATATATACAAATCACTCTTACAACTCAATAATAAAGAGAAAAATAGGCCGGGTACAGTGGCTCACACCTGCAATCCCAGCGCTTTGAGAGGCTGAGGTGGGTGGATCACATGAGGCCAGAAGTTTGAGACCAGCCTCGCCAACATGGTGAAATGCTATCTCTACTAAAAATACAAAAATTAGTTAGGCATGGTGGTGCATGCCTTTAATCCCAGCTACTCAGGAGGTTCAGTCAGGAGAATCACTTGAACCTGGGAGGTGGAGGCTGCAATGAGCCAAGATCATGTCACTGCACTCCAACCTGGATGACAGAGTGAGACTCTGTCTTAAAAAAAAAAGAAAAAGAGAGAGAAAAATAACCCAATTGAAAAGGTTGTCAAAAAAATTTAAATTAATTTTTCAGACATTTCTCTGAAAAAGAAGATACACAAATACCTAATAAACACATGAAAAGATGCTCAACATTATTAGCTGTTGGGGAAATGTGAATTGAATCAAAACCTCAATGTGATACTACTTCATACCCATTATGATAGCTATAATGAAAAAAAAAAACCAGATAATAACAAGTATTAGTGGGAAAGTGGACAAACTGGAATCCTCATTTATTGATAGCAGGAATGTAAAATGTTATACTTGTTTTGGAAGACAATTTGGCATTCTCTCAAAAGATTAAACTTAGAATTATCATATGACCCAGCAATTCCATTCCTGGATATACACTCAAGAGAACTAAAAATATATGTACACAAAAAACTTGTACATAAATGTTCATAGTAGCATTGTTTAGAGTAGCCAGAAAGTGGAAACAACTTAAATGTCCATCAATTAATACATGGCTAGACAAAATGGGATATATTCATACAATTGAATATTATTCAGCCATGAAAAGGAATGAAGTACTTACATATACTACAATATGGATTAACATTGGAAACATGCTAAATGAAAGAAACCAGACTTGAAAGGTCACATATAATTTCACTTACATGAAATGTCCAGAACATGTAAATCCACAGAGACAGAGATAGATTAATAGTTGCCAGGGGCTAGGGAAAGGGGAAATGAGGAGTGACTGCTAATGGACACAGAGTTTCTCTTTGGTTGACGAAAATGGTCTGGAATCAGCAGTGATGGTTGCACAGCTTTGTGAATACACTAAAATCTACAGAATTATTTACTTTAAAAGGGTCCTTAATGCTATGCAAACTATATCTCAATAAACAAATTTCAAAGTGTGTGCTTCAATCATATTCTAATTGTCATTAGACAACACAAAGTTGTATTCTGAGCACCAATTTTCAGATGTGGAAACTGAGGCATGAAGGTAAAAAGGTGTCCTAGAACCACAGAGTTGGACCTGAATTTAGTTTTTCAGCTATCTTTCTAGAAGGTCTCTCTAGAACATCACCATTAGTGTTAGAATCCAAATTAGTTAAGTCTGATCAGCTTCCTCCTAGAAAGTGAGTCCCCTGTAGGTAGTTTCTAAGAAAGAAATGCCCATGTAACACTAGGTTCTCTGGCTGAAAAAGGGGAGTGTTACTCACCTCCCACACTGCTATTTACAGGGAAAGATAGATGAAAAAAAATCCTTTGCACAGGAGGAATCCTCTGTCTAGGACTTTTATCCAAATTATTCCCATAAAAGTGGTCAGATTTAGAACATTCTTATTTCTGCTCCCAACTTATAAAGCTAAACCAGGTTTTCCATTCTGTCAGCTTACACGGTAGTGTGTGCTTCTAGTAGGGGAAGAAGGCAAGGCAGAGGTCTTGCGTTCTATCGCTTTCTTAAATGGGTACTTCTTAGAGCATGGAGCAGAGATATCCAAATGAAGTATCCACCTGCCTCCTGAATTTTCATTCAGAACTTTTATAAACTGTAGAAAAATCAAATAATGCTACCCATTTTCTTCTCTTTTCTAATGATTTTGCAGCACTGGATCTTGGAAAATGGAACTCCATTACTGATTATTCCATGAGATTAGGGTTAATATCTAAAGATGCACAATGCAATTTTGTCTTGTTGTTTTGTTTTTAGAGTTCTGAATTTACTTAGGGCCAGTTATATGTCACTTGGGGATCTTCACGGATATACAAACTGCCTTCCCAACAGGAGGCCATGAGACCTCCACACTCAGTAAAGCAGGCCACAACCCCAGACATTCCAGTAACCGGGGATGGTTGGGGCTTCTCTCCCAAAAGGGTTAATGCAAAAGAATGAAGTTGCCTATGGCTTTCTTCAGTGCAGAAAGCCAGAAGACCACGTGTTGGCTATGGTGCAATGAAGGGGTGATGGGCAGGTAAACCTGCTGGAGTTTGCTCTAACCTCATCGCAGGCTGCACAGCGCGGCTTCAGGCACTCAGCATGGTGCCTGCCACAGTATATCTTCCCATCTTGGTAAAAGTAGATCAGATCCACCAGGAGTTCATTGCAGACAGTGCATACGAAGCACGGCGGGTGCCAGCAAACGCCATGGCCAGCGCGTGACGCAAACACAGCGATGTCTCCACCATTGATCTGGCCTCCACACTGCGAGGCAAACAGAAACGTCAGTAGTCACACCAGCCCCCATCTCCCAGTGCTGTGCATAAACGATAAAGGACAACCACCATTAGCTGGCTACTGAGTGCTTATGTTCAAAGCAGTCACTATGCTTCCTGCTTTACATAGGCAGCAGGGCAGGTTTTTCTTGTCCTCTCTGAACTCTCCTTTCCTAAGGCTTACAAATAATGTAGAGATAAAGTCACTGGGAGAATGAGGAATCACAAAGATGAGAAAGAAAGAAAAGCTCTTTTAGCACAATAATGTACAGGGGTTCTGCAGGCAGGAGGCAAACTGGCACAGAGGAAAGCCTCATTGTCTTTCAGATACTTTAAACTCCATGCAGAGACACAGCCAGGTTTAACACCAGGAGGAGTGGCTGGGGAGGGGGGTGGGTGGCAGGACGGGCTTGGAGGAGGTGGGCCTATACTTTTAGATGGGAGGGAGGGTGGGTACTTAATAGCACGCTCACCCTTAACTATCTTCTCTGTGTGCCTTTCAGACATGCATTTAGCTTGCTTCCTCTAACATCTTTCTACATAGTCTTGATTGACATGGCACCACTTCTAAGGTCAAACTATGGAAAGGATTTCTTTCTATCCCTTCCCTACCTTCTCACTCATTTTCTCAAGTTGCCTCTTGATCCTGAAAGAAACAAGGCAGAATCACTGGCCACCTATGCTTATAGTTGGGGTTGGGACAAAAAGAATATGATTTGAAGGTCTCTGAGGGAAGAATAAAGTATGGAAAGTGGGTCTAGGGAGGTGCTCTTGCTGACCATGGCATGGGCCATGAGGTTCACAGAGTCCTACAAGAGTGGCTGAGCTAAGGGGACAATGTCTAAAGAGCAGAGAAGCTACCTTCAAATCTTTCCCATGCTATGGGTTGAAATGCATCTTAGAAAATGAAGTGAAGACCTCAAAAATAGTCTCTGGGAGCTCATCCATGTGTGACTGGACAAAAGAAAGGCATCATGTTATCCTTACCTTCTGTGACAATGTTAGCAGAGTTAAAGCATGCAGACATAATCCTATATAACCCTCACATGAGTCATCATTCATTCTTTCTATAGATGACAAAACCAAGGAAAAGTAACATGGTCAAGGTCATCTGGAAGAAACATGAGTCAAACTTACGAAAGCTCTTTCTGCCTCCACACTCTTGGCACTATTCTACACGATTCTTGGCACCTGCTCACAAAATGCCCAACCTTCCTTCTCCCTTAGGCAAACTCAGCTTGCCTGGTTCCAGGAGACTGATCTTAGAGTAGCAAGGATTCTCCAGCTTGCCTGGATTGAACACAGTGAATCTCAGATCACAACCACTGACCACCTGTACCTTAAGGGTGGGTCCCAGATATACTTTACAAGAATAAAGAACCCATTGCCAAAGCTCTGGTCAATTAGCTTTCCCTTCCCATATAACTGAACCTTCTCACTCTATCCCTCTGAAATCTCAAACACGGGCCTCAAATGACATCTGCTTCCCTTGGGCAGCATCCTACCTCCTCTTCACTGATCCAGTTAACATATCTTCAGCTCTCAAGGGGTCTATGCAGAGCTTAAGGAGTTAGATAGGAATGTTCAAAAAGCTGTAGGACTTAGAGAAGTACCAAGAATGACAATCAGCACTGGAAAACCTGTGGCAGCTGAGAGGTGGGGCAAGGTGTATTCCCACCCTGCAGTCTCTAAAACTCTTCGCCACACCCTGAGCGCTCAAGAGGAGCAGAGGAGACAAGGAAATCCAGAATCTTGAACTCAGTGAGGTCCCAGGGAGAATGCCTCTTCACTCCCCTGAACCCACTCTCACCTGTTCACAAATAGCTCCTGTCAACATGAATGGGAAGGGTTTCATGCACTTCAATAAGGAACTCTCAAATCTCAGGAGAAGATCATTTACCTCCTCTTTAAATGGCTCTGGTTCTGGGATGATCCTGCGAGGGAGGCTGACCCATGGCCTGAGCCAACTCCATTTCCTAAAGGTCTCTTTTTAAAATATAAATCCATCATGTCATTGCTCTGCTCAGTCCTTCCAATGGCTCACCCAGAACTCTGACTTTATCTGAATTCTCTCTCTTCACTCCCTCTGCCCCAGCCCACTGGCCAACTCACTGTTCCTTGAACATAACAGACACCCTCCCGTCTCAGGGCCTCTGAGCCGGTCATTCCTTCTGCCTTAGCATTCCCTCTGCCCTAAAATCTGCACGACTCACTCCCTCTTGCACAGATGTGCATCTGTGCACATCTTTGTTCAGATCTTCTAAGTGGGGTCTTCCCCACCAACCTTCCTTAAAACCGCAGCCTCCCCACCTGTCCAGCACATCCAAGTCTCCTTCCTTGCTGTATTTTTTTTCTATTTTGTTGATTACATTTATTGTCTGACTTCCTCCCCTAGAATCCAACTCCTTAGAAGGGCAAGATGAAACTTTCCTGTCTTTTGTTCAGTACTGTTATCTCAGGCACATAGTAGGCACTCAATAAAACAATTGTTGGATGAATGAATGGGTGAAAAGATGCCAGAACAATGCCTCTTCACTCCGCTGAATCCATGCTTACCTGTTCACAAATAGCTCCTGTCATGGTGACTGGGAAAGGCCTGACATTCCCACGGCCCAAGTTTTCACGTTTCCTCTGGCTGCTGAAAAGCTTCAGCTCCCTCTTCTCTTCCTCATCCAGGGAGTTACAGTATCGAACCTGAACAGACACAGACAGTAGCATGGAAGAAGTCACCCTTGCTCCTTAAGATTCCCGAAGCCCATGACTCTGAGTTTTCTCGTTAAACGCACTCTCATTTGGTTTTATAGCCCTCGCCTGAACTTTAACCACAACAGCCTTGGACAGATTTAAGGTGAGTCTCTGCTAAGATTGCTGACAGCCGAAAGAGTTTACCAAAGGCTCTGAATTCTGGATCCCCAGCCTTGGGCAGGCTAAAGGTTCTGTGACTGCTCCTTATCGTGGCTGCCTCACTCTGCTCACCATATTAAGATCAAATCATCTGGGGTGGCTCAGCTGCCAGGAAAGAGCTGAGAAGTTCTCTTTCTTTCAAACTGCAGGAAACTGATACTTTCATCTCCATGTGCCCATGCAAGTGATCCTTGACATCAAGAATGACTCTAAGTCGGTGAGCCAGAGCAGGTATCCATGTGCTCACAGCTTCTGTTCTCCCATCTCATTTTGGAAAAATAGGGAACAAAGGTGTGAGTCTGAGGAGCTGGTCCAGGCATCTGTGGTGCTGCACAAAAGTCTTTGCATGTTTAGCTCTGTAGAGTGGGGAACAAGCTGCCTGCTAGGCTCCAGTTGAGTCGACTTGCAAGAGACATTTTCCTTCTTGTTAAATATAGAAACTCCCAGAATTAAGGGAGGAACATTAAATATAATTTGAATTCAGTATCTCCCCTTATTTATGCACACCTTGGGAATTGTGCTATGCTATATTCTTGTGCTGTTATTTACTGAATGCTGTTTTTAATACTGACTCAATTTTTTTTTGAAACTTGGATGCATTTATTTCAAAAGAAAGTATATTATGACTATAAATGGAAAACCAATATCACCTGTAAAAACAAAACAAAACAAAACAAACAAACAAACAACAGGAGAAACCTAAATAGAATGGGAACAGAACCATGTTGTTACATTCTATCTGGTCACTTTGCTTGTAGGAAATCCTAAAACAGAGATCCCTGATGCTCCTACTTAAAAGCGGAGGCCAGTGTGAGTTAGAGAGATATGAGACACCTGCTAGCACCTAAATTGAAATTTCTTCCTTGATTATTCAACTGCTCTATCACAAGGAATACAATACAATTTAAAAGACAGTAACTCAATAGGTAGTTTCATTTCATTTACTGCCATGTCCACATAACACTCAGGGTCACATATATATATATACCACACTTTGGGAAACATGGTCCTAATCCCATCTCCTGTCATACTTCGGAGTAATCTGGACATCAGAAAGGTTAAGTGAATTGCTTGGATGATTTGTTATACAGATAGTTAGAGGGAAACCTTTGTACTAGGACTCTCACATCCTAATTTGAAAACCAGGACAGCTGCGTATATCAAAATTGTCTTATCTGTGCAAAAAAGAAAATGGTCAAATATTTACTTTAGAATCACAATCACCCTTTGTCTTCAAAAGGGCCATTTCAAATAGGCTAAATCTGCCCACTGGGTCACACACACACAATTCCCACCAACAGGACATTGTAATTTGAATGGTGTCTTTTTTCATAAAAGCACAGTTAACCATAAACACAACAAACCACTACAATCAGAGAAGAGCCAATCGCTTCCCTCTATCAAATAAAAAGTGTTAAAAAAAACCCTTCATGTAAATGTCCCAGAGAGAACTGCAGTGACCTGAACAGCCCAGAATATATGGTTACACCACTGACATTTTAGGGCCATGCTTTCAAAGGAAGGCACACCCTTCCTGCTTGTAAAAACCCGCATTTTTCACTTCCAAATTAGTTAAGCAGGCATCAGGTTACAAGGCTTGCTCTCAACTTTAAAGGAGAAAGCATTATTTATATTTGTTTTATGATGTCTGAAATAAGCAGCAGTAAAGAGGATTATAGCTCTCTTTCTAGGGAACTGCTTCAGTTTTAAAGTTTTTGTCCTGCTTACTCAAATTTATTTTTGAGGCTCTCAAATTATCCCCTTTCATTCTAATGTGGAGAAATAAGACTGAAAAGCACTCATTTCCTCTGGGACGGAGCTGCTGGGATCCAGCTTGTGGGTGGGAGGGCTGGTAGAAAGCTGGTGTCCAGCTCTCTAAAGGGGTTATTTCTCCTATCCATTTAAAATTACATTTTTGTTTTAAATGCAGTCAGAGTCAAGCAGACAGTTCAGTTCCATAGGACTACTATTTTTAAAAACCAGATACCTAAAAATGAATTTCTAGTATGTAAACTGATTTCCCTTCCAGCATAATGATCTTTTAAAATCATGTCTACAAATTTCTCTTTATGAGCAATCAGATTTCAAGGATAAGAGATGCCATTTACAGTGCCATGTTTCTGGGTTCAGAAAAAAGGACAGTCTGCTAGTCCACACTTTCAAGAGTACAAAGAACAACCTCGGCAAGTCAGACTTCACCATGACAAAAACACAGATGTTCAGAACTACAATTCTGGACACATAACTTCTCCTGCAGTGTAGTGTGGAAAATTTGCACACTCATTTAATATGAAATGATGCTAAAAATTCAAGAGAGTCACAAAGTTTTTGCAGGGCTTGAAGTGGTCCAGGGGATCTCAATCATCTCTCCAACATACACAGGCAACCCACGGGGCATATTCTTCAAGTAAGAAAACTTGGAATCATAGCTTTTGAATTTTGGTGCTCCCAGGTTACCCCCAAAGAGCTAGTAGTGCCAGGCATAGAGGCCAATCCAGTTTATAATGAGTTTCTCCTTTTTTAGTAATACTCTGTAGAAGTAAATTGTTGGCCAGTTTATTTTGGCTGTAATTAAGGAAGCTAAAACCTAAAATAAATGGCCAGAGTTCTTCTTTGGCTATCTCATTGGTGGCAGATTATGAAAAAGGTAACAATTCACAGAAGGAACTAAGAAAATTCTGCATAAGCCCCCTCTAGCCCCTTACCTCATTGTCATGTGGCGGCAGCTGGTGTAGTAGCTGCTTGATTCGCAGTTTCTCTCCAGGACTGTTGACATAAGGGACTTTCTCTTCTGGGAGACAGCTATAGTACTGGTGTACCTGAAGGACAGAAAGCATATAGATGACTTGCCGGTTACTCAAACCACATGCCTATTCCCACTTACTGGGAAGATGACTCCCCCAGCAGGATGTAACTGACTTCCACAGTCCTGAACCTTTATGACAGTCAACAGCAGACGAGTTTCCTATGGTAAGCAGGGAAATTCATCCTTAAAGCAAGAGTCAGGCAAATCATCCATATCTGGGATTTTCCCCTCTCTCTGTGAGGGAAAAACAAAGCCATTAAATTTTCCTAGAAACAGAGAATTCAGCAGACATGCTGGTGAACCAGAGGGTAGGGCTTTCTCGGCAGACTCCCCTGAGAGCTGGCTTTACCATTTTCTCTGTTAGTCTCCAGCATGTGACGTGCCTCCCTAGCCAAAGGGATATGTCAGCACCTGCCTCAGCAGTGGAGTTAAAGCCAGTCTTTGGCACTTGGCAAACCCCTAGGTACCTCAGCCTCCACCTACATTTAAAGCCCTCCAGGTTTCGAGACTTGTGTAAGGCAGGCAGCAGCTGACATCCATCAGAAATAGACTCACTAAATCTGGGATGCAGAGCGTGTAATTAAAAATTGTCATTAACATGAGGATTTTTGCACATCCTAGAACATTCTTGTTTATGACTGTTAGGACATATTCTTGTACTTTATGAGGCTCATTCAACCCTAACAACAACTGGGGAAAGCACCAAGCAGCTAATTTTGCCTGAGAAAAGAAAATAGACATTTCACCATTCAGCCACATGCAAAACTAGAGAAAGAAAAAACTGGCTAATATAGAAGGTAGGTTATTATATAGGAGAGGCAAAAAAAAAAAAAAAAAAAAAAAATCCCACAAGCTCAGATGACATCATGGAAAATACTCTCAAGTATCTCTTATTTAACAGCATGACCACCTCTTGCGAAACAAGGCATTCATTCAACAAACGGACAAGATGGAAGACTGGGGGCTCTGAAAGTCATCATTTGGCCGGGCATGGTGGCTCACACCTGTAATCCCAGCACCTTGGGAGGCTGAGGCGGGCGGTTCACCTGAGGTCAGGAGTTTGAGACCAGCCTGACCAACACGGTGAAACCCCGTCTCTACTAAAAGTACAAAAATTAGCCCGGTCTGGTGGCGCATGCCGGTAATCCCAGTTACTCAGGAGACTAAGGCAGGAGAATTGCTTGAACACGCCATAGCCCGGGTGACAGAGCAAGACTCTGTCTCAAAAAAAAAATTTTTTTTTTTGTTACTTTCTACAAACTTGGTCTAAACTTGGTCTAATTCCTTTGCATTGAGGGAGCTGTGGGTATGAACACATGTTTTGGGAATGCTGGGGTGAAGAGTTGCGAAAGCTCTGTCTACTTTGATCTCCAGAAACTAAGTCATAAATGTTAGAAGAGGGGGTGAAAAGGCTTTGTAATGACAAGGCCTTAAAAAATGTGAAAGCTATCTTTATTTTCATAACTAATGATGGTAACCATTCACTATCATGTGCCTATCATCCTTTTAATCAAATCCCAGAGGCAATTACAAAAAGAATTCTTGTCCCAGACTAGCTAGATTTCCAAAGGCAGGGTCTGTATAAGCCCCTTCCTATAGGCAGCTGGCAGAGAGCTATGCCCAGGGACAGGAATGAATGGCGCCGGGTTCTGAAGACAGCTCACTGTTGACCAGTACTCTGAGAAAAAGTAAAAACCCAGATCACTAGTTTGGGATTAGAAGCTGGCAATTTGCCTATTAGAGACTTGCACAGCGTTCCATCCTCAGAAGAGTCCCTGTGCCATATGCCTCATCAGACAAAGGCCAGGTACAAAAAAGCAGGCCCAGTCTCATGTCTTGGGGAATGGGCTTTGACTCCCAAATCAGAAGATTGCTTGTAGAAAGGCCTTGTTCCATCATTACTTTGTCATTCACACAACTCCCATTGTCGTTATGGAACATTAGGGACAATTGCTAATATGAGATGAATTACTATGGATGCTTGAAAATGCAGAGTTTAGTTGCGGTTCCATTGACCCTCCTTTTAATCACCTCTAATTACTCACACACCCCCTGTCCATTGCCTAGAGCACAGTCAGGCCTGAGAGCCCTTCTGAACTGGTACTTTGAACCAAGCCCTTTCTGATACTGTCTAAGGCTGGCCCAAGTTGGAATCTTCCCTGCACCCTCTAGGGCATAGCCGGTAGATCCGGACCCGAGTTAAGGATCTGTTGTTTCCCATCTCTGGGTTCCTGAGCAAGTTATGTGACTGTTCAAAATACCCATCATAAGACTGAGATGATTAAATGAGAGTGTAGGCACAAGCATGTGGCTCTCAATAAAAATAAATAACATGAATACATGATGATAGTTATACTATCAAGCCTGGCCTACTCTAAATGGAACAATCCAGATGCTTCCTGGACTAGGTCTTACTCTGCCACCCAGGCTGGAGTGCAGTGGCGTGATCATGGTCACTGTAACCTTGACCTCCTGGGCTTAAGCACTCTTCCCACCTCAGAGTAGCAGGAACTACTAGCGCATGCCACCATGCCTGGCTAATTTTTAAAATTTTTTGTAGAGACAGGGTCTTGCTATGTTGACCAGGCTGGTCTTGAACTCCTGGGCTCAAGCTATTCTCCTGCCTTGGCCTTCCAAAGTGCTGGGTGTGAGCCACTGCATCAGGCCAGCTTTGGAATGTGCAGCAACACTGCTGGCTTATAGAGTGAGACCAAACCCTGAAGCCACTTACATTAATAAAAGCAAGAAAAATAGGTTGCAAGGGATACAATGGTATTAAAACTAGTTTGACTTCAGGGGAAAAATGGCAAAGTGTTATAAAGGGGTGTGTGTGTGTGTGTGTGTGTGTGTGTATGTGTGTGTTTTTTCAGAAATTTAGCCACGTATATAAAAGGGTCTCATGAGGAAACAGAATATGCCACCGGAAGGTGACTGTACCAAGTTTCTGTTCTCTCTGAGCCCAGTGTCCTCTTACCTCTGCTCTCTTCTCTTCCTGCAGATCTGCTTCTCATCTTCTCAAAGGTTCAGATTTCCCATGGCACTTGAGTTTGCACAGAATCAGTTCAAGAGCCTGTCCTAGAGTGACTCACTTTTCTCAATTCCAAATTCCCCAGAGGAGGACCCTGACTACCCCGTCTTGGACAGCGTCCACACCCAGAAATGAGATTAAAAACATTCGATACTTTGAAGACTGGAGAATAAATGAATCCCAACATGACATGACTGAGTGAAGGTGCAGTCAGCAGTGACGGAGGACTCTGGAGAAACTTAGGAGTAAATAAGTCCCTTGGTGTGCTGAGATCCATCCTCAAGACTGAATTCTGAAGTCAACAGAGGCAGTGACTACTCTTTAGGAACACAGCTCTATCTTTCCTGGACATCTTTTGTCACCTTTTATAATTCAAGCCTACTGATAACCACTCAAAATTATTCCAGTAATTCCTCAAATATAGAATATGCTAGAATATCTTCTCACAAGGCAACTAATAATTTGATAGATGACTTAAGAACTCACCTAGATAGCAAGATGCCCCATTTCTAAAATAAATCAGTTAATAAATTAACAACCTCCCAAATCACTCCCATATCACATGGTAGGTGATGTGGCTTGCTCTGAGGAAGGAGAATAAGTTAGTCCTTTCAGGACCTCCAATCCTCTTCAAAGTCCATTGAAGCCCAGGTGAAAAACGCATCCCTCTAATGTTAGCTTTGTGTCGCCTCCTGGTGTTTAGATGCTGGACTTCCCAAATTTTTCATCGAGCAAAGGGGATTAACAGATGGATAGGAGGGAGGGAGAAACAGCTCTCCTGAATTATCTGGCTGGATACAGGAATGCTGCCTGCATTTTCCTCTGGCATCCTCCACAATAAAACTACTGTATAGCCCAAAACAAACATCAAGTGAACCCAGGGTAATGGGAAAATACTGAGTATACTTTCTGGCACTACAAAAATAAAATTTGGCACAATCCCTGAAAATCCTGCAGATTGTTCATTTTAGTCCAAACATGTTTCACTTGTTCATTTTTTGGAGTAAATAAGCAAATCCAATAGAATTTTGTCAATGATGATCATTACCAAGCTATTACCCATTATGCTGATAACTGTATTTTTCATTCTGTGTGTACTGAGCATATTTATTCAAAAGCACATCTGTTGAATGTGTTAGAGACTTTGCTCCATTGAGACATTCCCAGATAAAGGTGTCCTGTGATTCCACCCTCAGTGAAATCATACTAGGTAACTTTCCCCTAAACAAAAGCATTTTGAACACAATACACTGGCTTATGAAAATGAAAGAGCTGAAGGCCTTTATTTAAGGTGTGACTCTGCAACAGGAAAGGTTTGGCAGCAACTTCAGTGTGTGTCAGACAGATCGCAAGTGCTTTAGTTAGTGCGCAAATAAAGTCTACAAAGCAAAGCCTCGCCCAGCTGGAAAGATGAGGTTTGTTGGAAGGAACTGCACGTTTGATAGCATTTCTGCCTGGGCAGAAAGATGGAGGCTGGAGAAGCAACGACTCTGCATTTGGGAGAAAAGTGTACTAAAAGTAAGCTGATTTTTTTTTTTTTAAGAAGTGTGCAAAGCACTTTATTTAGAGCACTGGCTCTCAAACTATAGCTTGCATCAGAATCACCTGGAAGGCTTGTTAAAACACAGCTTTCTAATTTAGTAGGCCTGGGGTGGGGATATTTGCATTTCTGACTCCTCTTCAGGTCCTGCTGTTAGTCCAGGGACCACACTTTGTGAGTTTTAGTGCTTTCTACTGTTTTCCCTCACCAACCAACCTTACGCAGTTGTCAGGCAAATGGTAGGATTCCCATTTTCTTCAAGAGATCTAGAAGGCCCAGAAAAGGGATGAGAACTTGTTGAATCTCAGCCAATTTTTCAGGTGTCTCCTTCTACATCTAGATATATGATTCAGCAGGGGATTCCACCAGCTCTGGCAAGAACAAGAAATCCTAAGGGCAAAGTGCTCACATTTTTGGGTGGCAACATTTTCCTTATCAAAAGTAT